ACTTCTTCATTGCAAATACCTTTTTTCACCAACATAGACGGCGACTATATACATAGACCTCTCCAGGTAGAATACACAGGAATCAGATCGACTACATCTGTGGATAAAGATGATGGAAAAGCTCAATATCATCAGTCAGAACAAGGCCAGGGGCCAACTGCAGAACAGACCATCAATTGCTCATATGCAAGTTAAAGTTGAAACTGAAGAAAATTAGAACAAATCGACGAGAGCCAAAGTACAACTTTAAGTATATCCCACCTGAATTTAGAGACTATCTCAAGAATAGATTTGACGCGTTGAACACTAATGACCAAAGACTAGATGAGTTGTGGAATGACATCGAGGACATCATGCATGAAGAAAGCAAGAGGTCATTAAAAAGAAAGGAAAGAAAGAAAAGACCAAAATAGATGTCAGAAGACACTCTGAAACTTGCTCTTGAACGTCGAGTAGCTAAAGCAAAAGGAAGAAATGATGAAGTAAAAGAACTGAACAGAAGATTTCTAAGGGTGGCTCGAGAAGACAGAGTATTATAATGACATGTACAAAGAGCTGGAGTTAGAAAACCAGAAGGGAGGAACACAGTTGGCATTTCTCAAGCTGAAAGAACTGAAGAAAAAAATTCAAGCCTTGAGTTGCAATAGTGAAGGATTCTATGGGGAAAATATTAAACGATGCAGAAAGCATCAAAAGAAGATGGAAGAAATACACAGAGTCATTATACCAAAATGAATTGGTCGATGTTCAATTATTTCAGGAGGCAGCATATGATCAGGAACCGATGGTATTGAAGGAAGAAGTCTAAGCTGCACTGAAGGCATTGACAAGAAACAAGGCTCCAGAATTGACGAAATATCAATTGAGATATGCTTCAACAAACGGATGCAGCACTGGAAGTGCTCCCTCGTCTGTGCCAAGAAATTCGGAAGACAGCTACCTGGCCAACAGACTGGAAGAGATCCATATTTATACCTATTCCCAAGAACGGTGATCCAACCAAATGTGGAGATTATTGAACAACATTATTGATATCACACACAAGTAAAATTTTGCTGAAGATCATTCAGAAGTGGCTGTTAGCAGTATATTGACAGGGAACTGCCAGAAATTCAGGCCAGATTCAGAAGAGGATGTGGAACCAG